GGGTCTCCCTGTAGCCCCAGCTGGCCTGGAACTCACTTTGTAGACCAGGGTGACCTCGAACTCACAGAGATCCGCCTGCCTCTGCCTCCGGAGTGCTGGGTTACAGGCATGCGCCACCACGCCCAGTCTGTCTTTTTTTTTTTTTTTTTACAACTGGAGGTCTTACATAGGATAAACCTTATCCATTCACAGGTTTACTGTTATGGTTTGGATCTGAAATGTCCCCCAAAAGTTATGCATTGAAGGCTTAGGCAATAGTTGATGGTGCTACTGAGAGGCACTATAAACTTTAGGAGATGGGGATCTAGGTGGAAGAACTAGGTCATGGGAAGGATGTCCATAAAGGGATCCTGGTACCTATGCATCTCTTTCTTTTTTTCTTGGTCACTGTGAGGTAAGCAACTTTGCTTTCCAGTGAGCTCCCTGAGACAAGGCCCAAAACAAATAGGCCAAGTAACCACAGACTAAACTCTCTGGAACTGTGAATCAAAATAAATCATTCCTCCTTATAAATTGATTATCTCCTATATTTTGTCACACTGATGGAAACTTGACACAACTTACCATGACCCATTTTATGGGTTTATTGTGAAATATATTCCCTTTCTTGGGAATCTGAACTAGAAGAAAAAAAGGTTTCATTTGGCAGATGTGATGATCTGAAGTATGTACCACAATACTTGGTTCTACCAAAGGCCCTTTCTCTTCTGGGGCTCAACAAAGGCTTCTGTTCCTCCTTATTTGAAGTAACTTGTAACTATAATTTTTTACATTTTCTCAGGTTTATTTTCCTAATGTAATTTTGCTTTCTTTTGGCAGAATCTATGTTGCCCAGACTGGCCTGGAACTTACACATAACCCAGACCAGCCTCTAAATTTGACCCCCTGCTTTAGCTTCCTGAGTTACAGGAGATTACAGGCACATGCCACCTGTAATTGTACACTCTATCACTGCTATGGAAATATGCATTCATGAAATGCATGTGTTGTTTGACTTTACTTTCTTTCCATTTTAGATGTATTTTCCAAAGGCTTGGGCAAAACAAAAGCTGACTATTTTTTCTAGCCTAGCTCAAGTATTTCCTTAGTGCTACCTTAACCGTTTCATTCATTCACTTATTTTTTTTCTTTATTTTTGTGGTGCTGGGCAGTGAATCCAGGGTTGAGTGCATACTATGCAGGTGTTCTATCACTGAGATACAGCCCCAGACTCCAGGAAGGCAAGATTAAAACTGCCTTCTTAGTGGAATAAGATTGGAATCTTATTTTCTAGGTCTACCACACTTAACTATAATCTTGGTCGATTTTAGGTCTTAATATCATTTTCTTAACCAACAGATAAACTAGACAAGTACTAACGTCCTCTTTAGATTTACAATTAAATGATTGTTTTAATAACCTTTTCAAATTAATAGTCAGCCTACTGTATTTATTATTCAACCAATAAACTGCAATCTATGGTTCATTCTATAGCTCAGACCATAAGATATGGTATGGCTGGGCATGGTGGTGCACGCCTTTAATCCCAGCACTTGGGAGGCAGAGGCAGGTGGATCTCTGTGAGTTTGAGGCCAGCCTGGTCTACAGAGTGAGTTCCAGGCAGCTGGAGCTACAGGGAGACCCTGTCTCAAAAAGACCAAAAAAAAAAAAGATATTGTATGTTTCTGCAAGTATGGTATGAGGTGAAATACATGACATAAGTTTGGTCCATAAAAGTCTGTCTTGATAATTCCCTACTTTCTTGGATATTAACAAAAATGAAATTACCATGTCAAACTAGCAACTTCATATACCTGGAATAATAAGTAAAAATGAAAATAAAGAAAGCAGACAAAACTGGGTGGTATATCTTTGGCATGCTGGCTACTAAAAGACTGAGGGGAATTACTTAAGTCCATGATTTCAAGACCAGCCTGAACAATATTGTGAAACTTCATCTAGAAAAGAAAAACAAAGGGAAAGGAAAGTGGAAAGGAAAAGACACAGACTTGTAAAACAATATTGAGCAGTAACTTCTAGTTTAGTAAGAACCCACAGGGGACATACACTATAAAGGGTATGAATTACTAAGAAAAACCAGTAATTCAACTTTAATACATCCAAAGGGCATCTATCACAATGTGCCATACAACCAATTCCCACTAGATGTTTCTGAATGAATCGGGAGAAATTAACTGTGATCCAGAGGTGGGTACTCAAACTTACTTCTTCATTGGAACAGTACTAAATATGCAGCAACGACTTACAAGACAATAAAACAGTGCCTCACATGGAAAACCAAACAATAACTGCACATCATTAACAAGCTGTAGATCCCTATACATCATTAACAGGCTCTCTAAACTGCTATTATTCTAAAAAATTAATATACTTGAAAATAACTTTGTTTTTTTGAGACAGGGTTCCCTATACTCACAGCTGGTCTGGAACTCCCTATGTAGACCAGGCTGACTTTGATCTCACAGAGATTTGTCTGCCTCTGCCTCCCAGGTATTGGGATTTAAAGGTATGTGCCACCACACCCAGCTTGAAAATACTTTTAATGTTTTATTTATTATTTTATTTGTATGTGTATGAATGTACTGCCTGCATATAAGTGTGATGCAATGACTGTGGAGGTCAGAAGAGGGTGTCAGATCCCCTGGAACTAGAGTTATGGATGGTTGCTAATCACCAAGTGGGCGCTGGGAACCAAACCCAGATCCTCTGCAAGAGCAGCCAGTGCACCGAACTGCTGGGTCATCTCTCCAGTCCTGTGAGAATATTTTTTAAAAATTGTTTGCTCAGGGCTGGAGGGATGGTTCAGCGGTTAAGAGCACTGACTGCTCTTGCAGAGGACCCGGGTTCGATTCCCAGCACCCACGTGGGGCTATGAACCATCCTTAACTCCAGGTCCAGGGAAATCTGAAGCCCTCTTCTGCCCTCCGAGGCATTGCACGGCACGGGTGCACTTACACATGCAGGCAATACACTCATACACATAAAATAAAAACAGTAAGTAAAATATTTTTAAAAACTGTTTGCTCTTCAAACTTTTACTCAAAGAATTATTTTATCCTAATTTCCCTTTTGTTCAGTATCGTTTGGCTCTTAATTTTACATCTTTTTTTTTTTTTTTTTTTTGGTCTTTTTGAGATAGGGTCTCCCTGTAGTCCCAGCTGGCCTGGAACTCTACATAGACCAGGCTGGCCTTGACCTCACAGAGCTCTGCCTGCCTCTGCCTCCTAAGTGCTGGGATTAAAGGCACGTCTCACCACACCTGGCTTAATTTTACATCTTGAGAATGAGGATATAGTTCAGTGGCAGCCCACTTACCTAGCCATGTGCAAGGTCCTAGGTTTAATTTCTGTCCTAGTTTGTTTCTCTATTGCTATGACAAAACACTCTGACCACTATCAACTTGGGGAGGAAAGGTTTTATTCAGCTTACATCTCCTGGGTCACAGTTCATTAGGGTGCCCAAGGTAGGAAGGAACTCAGGGCAGGAACCTGGAAGCAGGAGCAGGAGCAGAGGCCATGAAGGATCACTGCTTACTGACTTGCTCCCCTGGCCCCTGCTCAGCCTGCTTTCTTATGCAACATAGGCCCACCTGCCCAGGGGTGGCACCACCTATAGTGGGCTGGGTCCTCCCACATCACTCAACAATCAAGAAGGTGCCCCATGGACATGGCCACAGTCCAGTCCAATGAAAGCCAATTCCCCAACTGAGGCTCTCTCAACCCAGGTGTGTCAAGTTGACACTAAAGCTGTCCAGCACAACCCCCCAGCACAGAAAAAGCAATGACAAAAGTCCCAAATCTCTCAAGCTTATATCATAACAATTATCTACTCTCATAAAAAATAAAAATGGATTGAGAATTATTTTCATTCTCCTCTCCTATAAGGTTGTCAACATCAACTGTTGATGTCTTTTTGTGGAGAAGGAGGTGAGATGGGATGGTTCTTTGTAGCCCACGCTGGTCTGGAATTGACTGGGTAACCCACACCTCAAACTTAAGGTCCTCCTGCCTCAGCTAGGATTACAGGTCTGTGCCACAATGCCTATCTTTAATGTCTATCTTTATTAAAACACTAAACTTAGCATTACTTCATGTGAATTAATCATTTGAACATAGACCAAATGTTTTTTAATACTACAACAGATTCAGTAATGGACAATATTATAGGAAAATGATTAAGATAAAATCCTTACCTCAGGCCTTAGAGAAGGAAGAATAACAATTTCTTGCAATGCTTGTTTTGCCAATTCCTGACCAGCTATATCATCAAATTTAACAGCTGTTCCACTAAGAAAATAATTTCACAATGTAAATATGGTTCAGTTATTTCAACATGACGTATAAACATTATAAATTACATTCATTTTTATGTTAACTGAAATTTTGATTATAAGCAAAAAAAGTCAAAGCTACCATAAAAATTAATTATGAAACAAAATATTTATTATGTATTACCTATGTTTTAAGAATGAAATTTGGAAATAGAAACTGAAATACTTGGCAAAACTTACTTGTCCACAATTTCATTCATTATAAGGTTAGCAAGGTTGCTGTCCACGTTCCTAAAGTTTTTCAAGTCTTTCTTTTTTCGAGCGGCAGTTGTAGGCGTAGAAGGTTTATTTGTTCTATTTGTTTTTAGAGTACCCTTAAACAACACAAAATTTTAACATGAAAATACAACCTTAACTTTTCACTCGTAAATTACTCTAGAAGTTAACAAAATTTAAATTCTAAAAACAAGGAAAAAATATGGGCTGGGGAGATGGTTCAACAATCAGTAAAATACTTGCTGCAAAATCCTGAGGATCTCAGTTTAGAACTCCAGCACCTGTGTTAAGCTGGGCACGGTGGTCCACATTTGTAACCCAGCACTGCGGAGCAGGGACAGGCAGATCCCTGGAGCTCATAGGCCAGCTAATCTAGCTGAATGGGTGAGCACCAGGTACAATGAGAGACCCTATCTTAAAAAATAAGGTAGAGAGTGACTGAGGAAGATATGCGGTATCTATTTCTGGTCTCCACATGCATGTGCATGCATTTGTAAACACACACACATAAAATCTAAGATTGCAGGCTGGAGAGACAGCTCAGCGGTTAAGAGCACTGACTACTCTTGCAGAGGACCCAGGTTTGATTCCCGGCACTCACATGGCGGCTATGAACTGTCCTTGACTCCAGTTCCAGGGGAATCCAATGCCCCCTTCTGACCTCCGCAGCACTACACAACATGGGGTACTCACATTCATGCAGGCAATACACTCATACATATAAAAATAAAATATAAAAAAATAAAAAAAAAATCTAAGATTGCAAAAATTGTGGATTTAGCCCAAGGTAAAGTTGTATTCACTGTAGAAGTAGATTTGGCATGAAGTGGGCTTATAGTTTATCCACAGATTTAATTAGTATAAAATAGAAAGATGTGAGATTGAAAGAGATGGCTCAGCAGTTTGGAGCACTGGCTGCTATTAAAGAGGATTTAGGGTTGGTTCCCAGCACGTGCATACATGGCAGCTAAGAACTATCCACAACTTCAATTCCAGAGGATCCGATGCAATCTTCTGGCTCCACAGGCATTGCATACATATGGTACACTGCATACATGCAGGCAAAACATTCATACAAATAAAATTTAAAAAATTTTAAAGATAAAGATGAGTCTAGAGAGGCAACTCAGCAGTTAAGAGCACTTGTTGCACAATCATGAAGACTGGAGTTTGGATCTAAGCACTGGTAACACCCAGGCATGCCTGTAATCCCCAGCTCTGAGGAAGGGCAGAGACAGGAGGATCACTAGGGTTTGCTGGCCTCTAGCCTAATTAAGAAAATTCAAGCTCAAGGTTACTGGCCTTCACCTGCAAGCACAGGTGTGCTCATCTGCACACAATCTAAGCATACACACACACATACAAAAATGAATTTTTTGGGGGAGGGAAGGGAGTCTTTTGAGACAGGGTCTCCCCAGCTTGCCTGGAACTCACTGTGTAGACCAGGCTGGCCTTGAGCTCACAGAGATCCACCTGCCTCTGCCTCCCAAGTGCTGGGATTAAAGGCATGTGCCACCACGCCCAGCAGATAAATGTTTTTTTAAAGAGAGAAAGACCCTACAGTAACAGTTAAATAACTTTGATTCCTGTTAGAATTATGACAAAACTCTAGGTATATTTAATGTTATAAAATTTACATGACTTGAAATAATTTTAAAATTTAAAATGATATATGCAGCATTATCTTAAACTTGGCAAATAAACAATTAGGAAACACCTCTGATTATGTCAGAAAGTAATTAAATAAGGTTTTCAATCAATAGCAAATTTTAAAAATTACACTAAACTTTGAGGAAAACATTGATTCTCTAGAGTATTAATTATAAAGTACTAATAATAAACTTAAGCAAGCATAATGAGGTTTTCTATTCATAAAACTGTAACAGTCACACTCAGCATTGTGGAATACCTTATGAGTGGTGGCTGCAGGACTAGGTCCTTGTCTTGCTCCAGAAACCATGGATAAACCACTGCAACTAGGTGCTCGGTGGTGACCTGAGAGACCTGTTGATCCACTTTTCATAACTGCTTTTGTTCGAGGCAGTGAATTACTAGCATGTGTTAAGGGATCTTTTCTTTTCGGAACTGCTCCACTTTCTATCAAGGAAAATGTAAAGCCATCATGATTAGAAAACGAAGTATAAAAGTAATTACAAGCACAAATACAAACTTGTAAAATCAAGCTACCAGAAGTTTAAATTTTTTTCTTTTATTTACTGTTATGTGTGTATGTTTGTGTGATATGTGTTTGAGTGCAGACATGTGCGTATCACAACACACACATAGCAGTCAGAAGTTAACTTCTGGAGTACATTCTCTTCTTCCACCATGTGACACCACAACTGGAAATAAGACAGTTTTTTTTTTTTTTAGTAAAAAAATGAAACATGTTTCATTCTTCAATGCAAATTATTGCATTTATCGCAAGCTAAAGAACACATCACTATATATGCATACATATTTTATATATTTGGATTTTTAAAAATTTTTATTTATTATTTTTATTTTATATGTATGCTTGTATTGCCTGCATGTAGGTAAGGGCATCCGTGTTGTGCAATGACTGCGGAGGTCAGAAGAGGCTGTTGGATCCCCTGGGACTGGAGTTGCAGACAGTTGCTAGCTGCCATGTGGGTGCTGGGATTCAAACCTTGGTCTTCTGCAAGAACAACCAGTGTTCTTAACCTCTGAGCCATCTCTCCAGCCCCTATATTTGGATTTTTATGGAAGACTAGAGACATGGAAAAAAAACCAGCACCCCAACAAATATAGCCAGGAAGGAAATCACCTCTGTAGGACAGGTTAAATGAACTACAAACAAGAAAGAGGGGGAAAGGGAAGGAAAAAAATGTGCATTGAGTTTAAGACACTGTAAAACTCAGAAGACATAGTCACTAATCAAGTATAAACTCAATAAGGACTTGGCATAAATTGAAAGGCAGTTGCTGAGGCACACCATTATAAAATAAGTCTGAAGAATTTACAATTCTACCTTCCAATTTTCTGGGAAAAAACCTGAACTCTTGAAGGTCTTCACTAGAGACCCTGAGAGGGACAGACACTTTTAATGACTACATAGCCAACAATTCATGACTGAATTTGCTATTCAAAAACGTATTTATTTAAAACAACAGGACTATGTGTTCTCAGACTGTCCCCTAGAGACTATTAATTCAAAGGTTTCAAAGTATATTACATCAAAAACAACACCTATTAAAAAATTTTTTAAATAAAAACCAAAAAACCTGATTTGATGTACCTTAAAGATACCCTAAATACCAAATTTTCTCCAGTCTAACATTGCAATTGATTTAAGAATTCCTCTTGCATTGGTAAAACATTTTTCCTCACAAAATGTGGGTACACAAACTGGATAGAAACATCATGAATGTGGAAATACCACCAATTTCCTGTAGTTTAAAAAAAAACAAAAACGGGTGAGGCGTGGTGGTACACGCCTTTGATCCCAGCACTTGGGAGGCAGAGGCAGGCAGATCTTTTTGAGTTCGAGGTTAGCCTGTTGAGTTCCAGGAAAGCTGGGACTACAGGGAGACCCTGTCTCAAAAAGATCAAAAAGAAAAAAAACAAAAAAAGGGTAATTGTAAAAAAAAAAGTAAGCATATTTAATAGTGTTCTTGCAGAAGATCCGGGTTCGAATCCCAGCACCCACATGGCAGCTAGTAACTGTCCGTAACTCCAGTTCCAGGGGATTCGACAGCCTCTTCTGTCTTCCACAACCATTGCACTTACCTACATGCAGGCATTAACACTCATACACATAAAATAAAAATAACAAAATATTTTGAAAAACAAAAACAAAAAACACAAAACCAGCCAGGTGTGATGGTGCATGCCTTTAATCCCAGCTCTCAGGAGGCAGAGGCAGGCAGATCTCTGTGAGTTCAAGGCCAGCCTGGTCTATATAGCGAGTTCCAGGCCAGCTGGGGCTACAGGGAGACCCTGTCTTAAAAAGACCAAAAAACAAAACAAAACACCAAAAGCTAGAATGTTCTTTGGAATCACTGAAATATAAAAAATTTGTGTTTTTTCTACAGTCTATGCACCACCTTTCAGGATCTCTGTGTTGCTTAATTGTGGTGACCTGTGTGACGTTTACAGACTCAAGTATTGCAATGCAATATCCATGCTTAATATACCAGGGTTCCTGAACAGTGGTGTTTAGCCCAGAAATGTTTTCAATTATTTCTCCAAAATGACTTCTCCCCAAAATAAAAACCGTAGACTATGACACAAAACATCTTGTGTTAAACAACCAAATGAAGTCAACATGTATAATTCTGGTGTGGTTTCAGCACCCAGGACGGCATTGCCACCTACTGTTTTTCATGGAAGTACCACAGGCCTGGCTGCTAGCATTCAGCCCTCCTTGGCCTCAAAAGGAATTCAGGGCTGGCAAGCTGGATTCGATTCTAAGAGAATTTGTCTTTGACAAACTACCAATTTTAGCATAAAATCTGGCCATGGCTATAAGTTTCAATGATAACACAGATTTTTTAATTCAGGAATATTTCAAAATATTCAGATCATTCAAAATATGATCTGAATCAGAAAATAAATGAGGGTGTTCTAGAAACTGTCACTGGGACAACAGCATTTGGTTATTAGATTTGCCCTATTCCTAATATATATTCTAATTTTATTATAAAGAAATATATTTGTGAGGCTGGAGAGATGGCTCAGCAGTTAAGAGCATGCATTGCACTACTCTTGCAAAGGCCTGGGTTCCATTTCCAGCATCCATGCTGGGTAGTGTACAACATCTGTAACTCCAGCTCTCTTGTGATCTCCTTGAGCACCTGCATACACGTGGCATACACACACACACACACAAAATCATAAAAATAAAATCTCCTAAAAAATGTGTTTGTAAGAACAACAACTTTACTTGTGAAGAGATTAAAAAAAAATCAAGCAATCAAATTTCCATGTGTATGGATTGGAAGAATTAATATTGTGAAAATGACCATCCTACCAAAAGTCATTTATAGATTCAATGGAATGCCAATCAAAATCCCCATGACATTTTTCACAGAATTGGAAAAAAACCATCCTAAGATTCATATGGAAGCACAAAAGACCTCTGAGAGCCAAAACAACCCTGAGCACTAAGAGCAATCCCGGGGGATCCCTATACCAGATTTTAAGCTGTATTACAGACATATAGTCATAAAAAGCAACATGGTACTGGCACCCAAATAGACCCATAGATAAATGGAACAAAATTGAAGACCCAAGTATGAGTAAATGTAATTTCAGCCACCTGATATTTGACAGAGGGGCCTAGAGTATTCACTTGGAGGAAAGACAGCATGTTCAGCAAATGGTGCTTGCAGAACTAGATCCCCACCTGTAGAAGAATGAAACTAAACCCCTATCTTTCACCCTGCACAAAAGTCAATTCCAAATGGATCAAAGACCTCAATGTAAAGCCTGAAACTCTGAAACCATTAGAAGAAAACATTGGGAAAAACCTACAAGATATAGCTGTAGGAAAGGATTTTCTAAGCCGGACATCAATTGCTCAGGAAACCAAGGCAAGAATTAACAAATGGGACCTCATTAAACTAAAAAGCTTCTGTACATCAAAGGAGGCAACCAGGGAAGCAAACAGAAAACACACAGAATGGCAGAAAATCTTCACCAGTGACACATGTGACAGAGGTTTAATATCCAGAATATATAATGAACTCAAAAAACAGAGAACCAAGACAAGAAGCAACCCAATTGAAACATGGGCTAAGGAGCTGAACAGAACGTTTTCAAAAGAAGGAGTAAAGATGGCTATGAAACATCTTAAAAGATGTTCAACATCACTAATAAT